GCAAAGCGATGAGTTGGATAAATTAGGATCATCATTACAGCAACATCCTAATGGTAATTGTTTCTTTTTTTCTCATGATACGGTCCCATAAGACCTACATATGGCCTATATTCTGTTGTGATGGTCGTCGTGCATGTTGGAATATCCGCGTTTTTGCTTGTTCTATTGAAAATGTCATTTTTGAATTCATAACTGCTGCGAGATAATTTGAAGCAAGTTTGTTCTGCACACGCTTGAGCTGTTAGGCTTTTGAAAAGAACTACTAGGCCTTGACTTAAGTTTCTCGGATGTTCTGATACAAGGGCATCTCCATACTCAATAAGGATCAGCCTAGCGATGGTGCGCGGCGGTTGCGTTGCAGCGTCGCAATCAAGTACTATTTTGCGTGATGTTTGGCACTCATCTTTCTCACTTGTTGCCAACGTTGAAATCTTTAATACAAGCTAAAGGAAGAAAATAAGTCAGCTCGAAGAAAAAGTGTGGAAACTGGGATAGAGCCAAATTGCGCCAAAATGGTACTCAAACGGGAGGACCGCTGCGCATCCTCGATCGGCGAACCTCACGTAGTGCCTATAAGCCTTAAAAGGGTCGGCTAATCTGAATCGGCCGATCTAGTGTGCTCGAGGCCCTGTACGCATTCCAAACATCACAGCTCCATCAACTATAGAGGATGACAAAAATCTCTTTCTAATCAGAGTGAGATTTTAGGCTACGTTGGCGGTTTAGTAGAGATGTGGTTAAAAAGGGATTCTCTCACAAAGATTGCCGATGGCAAGGATGTATATCGTCAGCGTAGTCTTCATAGTGCAGTTGAGAGCATCGCTGATGTACTACGGGAGGACACTTCATTCAATCCAATTTGCCGTGTAGGTGAACTGGAATTACATTCATCTCTATATATTATAACTCCGTTGGAGCCTGACCTCGCCGTTAATCGCTTTTTCCGCCCTTTCCTTCGTGCTTTAAATATGTGTCAATTTTTCGCTGTTGGTTAACGGTGAAAGAGTGGAACATTTTAGTACGGACGAAACTGGTTGTATCGGAGGAAAAAGCTTCTAACGGCCTATTTG